TATGTGATGGGTTTACGAACAGATGGCATCAAGTCAAAAGGGGAAAGAGATTGCTACAAGTCAGGCTAATGATGAAAAGGACACGTTATGGTGTAGCAAGATGGAGTGTGAGAGACGAGAGGGTATTCATCGATCACCTTGATGCACGAAGAGTTCAAGAAGAGAAACCAACCAACCACAACCTTCAACAAAGCTGGTTGGAATGTGATTAGGAAGCAATTTCATGAGAAGATTGGTAATGATTATTCAGACATGCAGTTTAAAAACAAATTTAACAGGCTGAGATTGGTGTATAGGGAATTTGAAAAGTTACTTAAGCACATGGGTTTGGATATGTGGGTGGATTTGCAAAACTGATGTTAAGAAATAGTTTGATCATCCAAATGTTATTTCTGTTCCTGTAGAACAAAAATTTGTTTTCGAAAAACAATTTGCCAAACGTATCTGTTACTCCTGAAGAGCAATAAATAAAATACTTGTTCTGGAACAGGAACATGTGGGAACATTGCCAAACAGGGCCCTTTTCCCATTTTCTTCTCCATATCATATTTTACTTCTTTGTTGCTTGGGCAACTTGTTCACATATATGCTCTTTTATCCTTCCTAGTAGATAATCAAGAACAATGACCTTTAAGGATTGAGAGAAGTGGCTTTGGAACCTTTAGTATTGTAAGGTTCAAATATGGGAATGAAACAGATCCGTGATATATAGCAAATCAGTGATGAGGTTAATAATGTAGTCATATTAGTACCAAATATGATTTCACAAATAACATATAAGATCATATCACCTTAGTTATTCTTTATCATGGGAAATATTACTTTGACCCTGTTTTTATCTTCTATTAGAGTTATAGATCTAAACGATCAATCAAAATGCTCATAGAAGCAATGGCATCATGATCTTCACTGGTGGGTGAGAATATCAAAAATCAACTTCTATCTGTGAAAGAGAAATGGGATGGGCGAAGGAGGAGGAAGTATGAGAAGAGAGCAGAAGAAAATAATTATCTACCTATATCCGGGTTATAACTATATATATATATATAAGGAGATTGAAAGGTGGGGAAGCGTCTGAAGTGGCAACAGAGATGGAGCAATTTTGAATAAGAGAACAAATGGTTGTAGGGTTAAACTTACACGGTTCAATGCCTTATTTTGTCAAATTTATTTTATTTTAAGGTTCAACTATTGGGTATTTGGGTATACTGCAATAACTACAGCAAAGTGGCTATAGCAGATCCAAACTCCTAAATTTGGTAATTGCACAATCAAAATAACATTCTGTTACACAACATTTACAGAGTCAAAATAACAAAAAAGATCTTTTAAACTGGTCTAAGTAGTGATGCAATTTCCAATCAAAATGCTCCAGGGATCCTCTGATTCCTTCAACAACTGCTTTGGCATATGAGAAAACCGTGAGGCTTGTCCATCCATTCTGTTTTTCTAAAGAAGGCTTTGCAGAACTGTTTTGCATTCAGCTTCCATTGGACTACAGACAAAATCAATTTTGTTACCCAAAGCACACAGGAAGTTAAAATTTTCATCCAGAACAATTATTCCATAAGTTCCTTGATTATTTGCAAGAGTGCCCCCGTCACAAATAATATGAATTGAACTTTCTTTTATTTGGTGGTGGTTACTTGGATTCTTGACTGTCTAGGGGAAGGTGATCTAAAGGGGGTTCCTGCTCAAGTGCTCAGAGTTAAGAGAAGAATTTTGCCAATTCTTGAACAGCTTGATGGATTTGCCTCAAAAGTTTTGATGGGCTTATTTGTTCTCCCTTGAACAAAAAATTGTTTCTTGAAATCCAGATGAAATACCAAGCTATAGCAAGCCAAGAAATAATTTTCTCAAGAAGGATTTTATCCGGGTATTTTTTTTCTGCCAAAAAGTTCAAAAACAAAACTTCCTAAATTTTGAGGGAAATTAATTGACTAGGGACTAGCAAAGATGATGGCTTTGGCAAGGGGACAGGAGAAAAAAAAAGGTGATTGACCTCTTCAGGTTCACTCTCACAAACAATACAGATACTTTGGTTGGTTATCCCCCTGGCCACCAAGTCTGATCTGCATAGGACAAAGTTCCTGAGAAGCCTCCAGGAGAAGAGTTTGAATTTTGAGGGGATTTTTAGTTTCCAGATATATTTATCCCATTTGACTCCAGCTAAGAGATCAAGCTGCTGATTTTCCCACAAGGAGCCACAGAATTTCTTTGCTGAGAAGATTTCATTCATTGATTTCATCCAAAGAAAGGTATCTGTTTGTTCATTCGATATTGGGGTGATACTGTATCCTTACATTGGTGTAAAAGTCTACAAACACTCCGATCTAATTGTCTGCGACTACCCATGGATCCAAGAACAAGAAAATTTCTATGCTCTTACTGGCCTACCCGAAAAAAAGGAATAAGCATCTGTTGGTCAAAGACCTAATAGATCAGCAAAAGAATTGGGATTGTATTCAGAATATTCTTCCAAGCCATACTACTCTGTTGCAATCACATATATTCGTACTTTTCTAGATAGTAGAAAGTATGCACATGATTTGCACGTGACAATTCTAGATGATGATAATTATAGTAATAATATATCATTGTATTCAGAATACTCTTCCAAGCCATACTACTCTGTTGCAATCACATCTATTCGTACTTTTATAGATACTAGTAAGTATGCACATGGGAATTCTAGATGATAATAATTATAGTAATGATATATCCAAAATTTTCTATAAATGTTTTTTTTTGTTTTTATATTTTTCTTGTTTTTTATTATTAATTAGATGCAAATTGCAAAATTCAAATCTTATTACATAAACACCTCATCCAAATATGTGATAAATCAAATTGAGTTGTGAAGTTTCAAGTATCATTGACATGCCTACCTACTTGGCTAAATTCTTCTTTTTGTAGTGTTTTATCTTTTTTGTTGTATTTTTTTCTTTTTGTCCATTTACCAAAAAATATGTAAAACTTAAACAGAGGGAATGATGAAAAAAGTAGTAATTCAATTTATAATTTAAACCTCACAATTAAATTGAGACTAAACTCAAAAATAAGTATTTTAGTCACTGCTTTAAAAACTAGACCAGACTGAATGGTTGAACCATTTTGGCCCAGGAACCGGTTAAGTCACCGTTTCCATTTTGGCCCTAAACCTCTACTTTACAAAAAGCTATTAAAATGGTTAGAGAACCGTTAACCCAGACAGTTTAACCATTAAAATGTTTGACCCAATTAATGGTTCTCGTGTCGCTTTCAAACTAATTCCAGTTTTTATTTATTTTAAAATGGAATTTAGAAAATAAAATAATTGAAAAAAAAAATTTATATCTCATAATCTTGTTCAATTATTCCTGATGGCCAAAATTAGTTAGGGTTTTTAGTTTTTCTATTTTGATTTTGAGTTTTCTCATTTCTGTGATTCTTTTTAAGTTGTAACAGCAAAARAAAAAAAATGCAACTCCAATGAAGAAATCAAAACATCCTTGCAGGAGATGAGAGATTAAACACCGATCTTATATTAAAATCTAAGATACACCAAATCACCAATGAAGCAAATGATCTAGGATATGAGAGAGATGTAAGAAGAGGGCAAACGGTGTTGTAGTGGCAGTGCGATGAACATGGAGATAGCCGTCGACGACTTCTTCTTCTCCTTCTCCTCCTTCTCAAAGCAAAATGGTTATGCAACAATGATCAGTGAACATGGTGACAATTAGAGATAGATTAAATAATTGAAGTTACATTTTCAACCTTTACAACTAGAGATGGATTAACTACACAAATATGACCATTATAAAATTCATTAAATCTCGCATTAAAACTATAATAAATGACTTTTACACCCTTTCTCAAACAAAAGAAAAGAGGGTAATTTTAGTTCAAAAAAAAAAAGTTTCATATAAAATTCACACTTTTATATATAGAGGGTAATTTTGGCATTTCCTTGTGCGAATCTTTCTTCAAAATCATGCCAAATATCTTTTGGTCGTATTAGCATACACAATGCTGCTGTGGAGTTGTCAAACTAGGGAGTTAAAGATTCATGAAATCACCATGGAATTGCATGTCCCAAGTTCGTCCAGCTATGGAAAATTTAAGTCATTGCAGCTTACTATTGATAAAGGCAAATTTATACTTCACCCGGAATGCATTCCGCATAGCTCAATACCAGGTGGGATAATTTTCACCTGTCAGGAGACAAGAAATCAACAGAGTCCCCGGATTTTTTGAGGGGTGAAGGTAGTATGGGAACTCAGGATTGAGATTTGAAGCCATGACAGAAAACAAAGATTGTCAAAGAAATGCAAGAAAAAAACAAGCTTGCCGGAGATCAAGAATTCAGGGGGATCAAGATCACCAGAGATGAAAGGACGATTGGAATCAACCAAAAATTTGCAGGAAAAAAATGAAATCGTAGCAGCAACAACCCCGCGGTGATCGGAGCTCTGATACCATGACAAACATAACAGAAATTAAAATGAGAAGAAAACCGTAGTGTATTCGTATGTAAATTGATACATACATATATATATATATACAGATTTAGATTAACCAACTTTGCCAACTTGTATTGCCACGTCAATTTAATTATAACCGACAAATAGTTCGAATATTCTAGAATATAGTGGAAAGGAATATAAGAAAAAAACTTAGGTTCCGTTTGGAAGGAATACAAATACTATATAGAAAATAATACAAAATATAAGGATTTACACTACATATTTGTATTTGTATCCCTTCCAAACAGAGCCAAAAGAAAAACAGAACATGAACAAAAGAGGAGAAACGTGGGAGGACTCTCCGTTTAACACGATTCCACAATTTGGAAAGAATCTCAATTCAAATGTCTTCGACAGTACAGTGAATCCAATAAGAGTTTCTTCGTTCGCTGAAATCAGCCACTACTGCCATTGATGATGAGTCGTGCAAATTAAAACGGACGACAAAAAAGAAGAAAAACATTAAGGTCTTAAAAAGAATAATACACACAATATAAAAATGGGGGCCAATTTTTAGACATTTAGGTGACGCTTGGTGACATTACAATAGAATGTTTCTAGCATTTCTTACTGCAAATCTGCAGAAATGTTGCCGCAGAGCATTACTTTTTTTTATTGGGCATCCTACAAGGCTATTATAATAACTAGAGCCTTCACATTCGTCCAAGGAACTCAAATTCTATTTTACTATTTCTCTGATTTCACAACATTCAAAAATTTATTCCATGGATAAGCTTAACACAACTCCTTGAAATCTTAAGGCATGCTTTGCCCAAAAATGGTGCCTCTGTTTATGGTAATGCTCTCACAGTTTGTTGTCTGTAGTGAAGGAAAAGGGGAAAATGCCCAACCAGAAACAATATTTCACCTTTGCTCTGATTCTTGGGCCTTGCAACTAGTGCATTCCTTGAAAGGAGGAGGTGGAATGTTGTCCAAAACACTAACTCGAAATGTCTGCTGCTTTTCTTCATTTCCAGGAACATGGAGGAGAGCTTCCATAATTAGAATGTCCCAATCTCGGGAACGTAAAATTGAGAACCATGAATCATCTGTAAATGGGAACTTAAGTAGGATTAAACTTCAGCAATAAAATATATTTAAAGTCTTATATTTTTTCCTGTTTATAAGTACCATAAAAGGATCCATGTTTGAAAGGAAAATGCTAGTATGTGGGAACACTGCTCATTCTATATGATAAGAGAATGAACAGTGACCACTGACCACACAACCCTCCTTGTTGGCATGCGTGCCAGGCTCCCGCTTTATTACCGCAGGTTCCCATTAAATGCGAGGCTGAGGTGTTGCTACACCCTATAGAATGAACAGTGCTTCAACACGCTAGTGTAACCCTATTTAAAAAGTCCAGTATTTTTCTCACAAAAGGTACCATAAAATGTTCCCAAACATCACAACTACTGTGTGGTTTTGGAGAGTTCCTGCTTCAATTAATTTAATAAAATGCCACATCAGAACATTCATCAAGAGATGATAGGTCTATACTCTAAGCGCTTCAAAGGAGGTTTATTTGAAAATCTGAATTACAAAAATTTGCCAAATTCAGGTAATTTCTAGATACATATTAATGAGCAATAGATCAGAAGTATTCTCAAACTGAAATAAAATTGGGATTGTATTCAGATTATTTTCAAGATAACCAAAGGGAGTGCTAATTAGAAGTAATGTAAAGGGGTTTACAGATAATTGGAACTCAATGGAATACATGCAGGATGTAAATGATACAAAATGATTAATTCAGGAAAATATTAATTATTTAGTATTTGGTTGTCAGTAAAATATGAAGGGAAGCAAATATTATCCAAATCTAGAGTGAGACCTGGATAAAATGACTTGCATCCTTCCTAAAGTAATTTTACCTAGTGTTGAATGAGATAATGAAATTTACTTTTTATTTGATGGTTGTCTCCAAAAACCAGTATGAAATAGTTAGATATGAGTGGGACTCAATGGAGGTTTTTCTTTCTTAGGACGTTTTTACCTAGAAAAGGAATTATATTTTTTCAACAAGTGTTTGCAAGATTTAAGGCAGGAGATGGATCCTGGATGTTCTATGGGAGGATGAATGGTATTGTGTTTATACTTTATTATCTAAGTTCAAAGACATTACCATAAACCAATGTTTTGAAATAAAAAATAATCGGACTCCAACTTTCTGAATGCCTTTTTGGGTAGAGAATTGGAGGAATGTGTTACTCTTCTCAGCAGGTTAGAATCTGAAGATGTTTCTCCTCCAGATTCAAGGTGGAAGGAATGTAATAATGGCTTTTACCCTGTAAAATCTAATTACAATGCCATAATAATAAATCAAGAGGAATTCTCTAATACTAATGGCACCAGGGGCAATCCTATCATGCAAAGGGTAGAGTTATTTGCATCACTGCTTGCTCCTGATTATTCTTATGGTTGATCATTCAAAAAGTAGAGGTTTCCTGCCTCCAGTATGACTAGTCTTTGTTAAATGTGTGGCTTTGAGAATATGTGGCTCACACACCATTCTTTCCACAGTTTTGAAGAGCCAATGGGAGGAGGAAAGAGTAGAAGAATGAAGGAAAGGCCACTTATAAAGGCTGAACGAGAGATTAAAGAATGGAATATAGAAGACTTTGGTAAATTGGAGAAGATAAAATCCGAGATTTCAATACAAATAGAGGATTTACCAAAAAGAATGCAAATAGAGGAAATAGATAAAGGAGGCCCTAGGAAAATTATCAACTGAAGAGCAGGTATTGAGATGAAAGTTGAAGGACAAGTATGATCAGATAGAAAGAGGAAATTAGCTGGATTTAGAAAAGATAGGCCATTACCCAAAGTTTGTCCCAACTATCTGCGGTCTTGGGAGAGGTGGACTGAATACGGTCCCCTAACCTTTGGCTTCTTTTTTTTATTTTGCACAAAGTGGTTGCTCAGACTTGAACAGTTGGACCTGAATTCCCATGCTTGACAGCCTAAGATTTTACTATTACACCAAGTACTAGTGGCCCCTAGCTGGAGATTAGAAATCCAGATACAAGTAGATCAAAGAAGGGGATGGAAATTCAAAATACTTTCACTCTTAGAAAAATATAAACAAAAAGAAGAATTTTGTATCCAGATTGGTGAAAGATGATTGGGTAATAGAAATTGTGGATGAGATTGAAAGAACTTTTGTGAACCACTTCAGGTTGATTGCTCTACAGAGAGATCCAGGGCACCAAAGCAAGATGGTTTTTCTATGGAATTCTACCAATGGCACATGGAATTCAAAAAGATGAGTTAATGGAGTTCTTCAAAGATTTTTATCATAGAGACAGAATCAATCCTGGGATGAATGACAAATTCATGGCTTAATACCAAAGAAAGCTGATGCATGTCACTACAGAGACTTTAGGTCAATAAGTCTTATAAGGAATCTATATAAAATCATAGCAAAAAATTCTAGCTATCAGATTGAAGTATTCCCTCAATTAGTCTCTCTGAAGCAAGGGGCCTTCATTTAGGGTAGGCAAATTATAGCATAATCCTAAAAGCTAATGAATGTCTTCAAGAACTTTGACATTCAGGCTAAAAAGGATGGTGCAAAAACTAGAGTTGATTATGTAGATTGGTCCTTCTTGGAAATCCCTCATCTCCCTTCCTATTCACCCAGTCACCCTAATAAGAAAAAAGTGTTGAGAAAATCGATCTCTAGAGCAGATAGATTTGGATTAGTTAGGGGCTGGAGGGTGGGTAGGGAGCACAAGATTGGGACTTATTTGCAATTTGTGGATGATTGTATTCTTTTGTGTTAGGATGTGGGGGAACAAGGAGAAGGAATCTTTAATTATTGAATAAGTTCCTTGAAAGGCTTTCAAATCAAAGGTGTATTTTGACAAGAGCTTTATAGTAAGTTTAAACATAGATGGAGTTTTAGAAAGGTTTGCCAATGTGTTAGGATGCACTATTTCTCAGTGTTTACCTTTTCTTCAGGGATGAAATTAAGAGGTTTAAATGGTTAACTGGCAGCATGACTTCGTGGATTCAATGAGTTAGAAGATCAGTTAATGGGATGACTGGTTCCTTAGTCAAGCAGGGGGTTAATAGGGATCATTTGTAATGGGATCAGTTGTAATTTGAGTTTTTCTATTTTTTGGGAGAGATTGCATCTCAGATCTCACTTCTCTCCTTAGGTTGCTTGTAATGCTTGTATATATTGATGTTTTTCTAGTAAAAATGTATAGTTATTTTCAAAGAATAGCGGTCAACTGTACAAACCTCCATTCCGAACAGCTTTCAACTGAAGAACACCAGTTCCTTGTGGTCCAGAAACAGGAAATGTGCAAGATACAGAGTGCCTCCTGTGAGCTACTGCAAGTGATGCATTATACCATGGGCCCTTCACAATAGGCTCGCCAAGAGCATCTATAATTGTCTTGTTCTTACTTGCTTTCTCCATGGCCTTGCTGAAAGAATCCAGGCAATGGGAAATAAATAAGGTTCTTCCAAGAATTGCAATCAATAAAATGTATGTTTCATTACTTTATTACACAACTTAATAGGTTAAAAAATGAATGCTATGAGTTAAGTCTATCTATGTAAATATCTAAATGAAAAAAGAACCACACATTGTGAGTGAACAAAAAAATAAATAGGGAAGGAAGTTCACAGATGGGGTCCATATCCTGAAGAAGAGGTCCTAATCATTCCTGAAGACAATTGGGCAACCCACCTAAAATCTTTTAAGGTGCCAGACTGAAATATAAAAACTAGTATCTGCCCATAATAGCTATATATGGGTTCCATATTGTATTGGATAATTAGATTTGTGTAAATTTCATGTTTAACACCTTGTCCAGCCATGTCCAAATCTGTATCTGAGTAACATACATATCCAAACAATCCTCTTCATAGGATGCCATATCTCATCAAAAGACCCTTCTCTTACTTCCTTCCATAAACCCTAATATAACAAGAGGAAACATGCTTGAAAATATTCAACCTAAAATCACCTTAAAAAGCTCCAGACAGCACATCATTAACCCCAAAAGAAAGCATGACCTCCAAATATCACAACGAACCCAGAGATGGAACCAACGGTTCTTGTCTCTGTTTAATTGTTTATACATGACACACATATATGCCAGTCAAACAATTTTGACTCTTAAGGTGATCCAGTGTGAATAGAGGAAAATAGAGGAAGTGAGCCAAAAATTCTTAGGTGCACTGCAGGCCTTATTAGAGGTTAGTCTTTGGAGAAAAATAGAGGAAAAAGTTATGAGTCTTATTAAATTGTCCCAAAAGGAACACTACACTAGCCTTGTTCAAGTTTCAATTCTCAAAAGGATTATGGAATGTGTGATTTCAGCAATAAGAAAAGGAAAAAAAAAGAAGAGAAAGAGAAGAGGAAGTCAACAGAGCAGAAAAGAAAAATATTGGGGCAATCTACCGTCTCATTGATATGTCATATCACAGATGAAAAATTGGGGAAAGAACTGATAAAAAACATGTTATCTTTATTTAACATCCCCCTATCAGGTATGTTAATCATGACCAACTTGACTAAAAGGCTACCAAACTTTGGATTTCTTTCTTTCTTTTGTTTGTTTGTTTGTTTTGTCGTTGTTGTTGTTGTTTTCTTTTTTTTTTTCTTTTTTTTTTTTTTCTTGTGTGTGTGAATAGATCATCAAACTTAGAATTATAAACTTCTTTTGTGAGAATATCAGTAAATTGAGATTCTAGCTTCACAAGGAATACAACCATCGCTTGATGTCACTTTTTCCTTATAAAGTGTCAGTCTACATCTATTGCTTGGTCATATCATGTTGAACTAGATTATGTTCAATGTCAACTGTTGTCTGGTTATCACAACACAACCATGTAAGTAATTCAACCTGATTCTCAAGTCACCTAGAAGAATTTTTAAACAAGTACCTCAGAAACTCCATGAGACATTACTCTGTATTTAGCCTCACTACTTGATCTAGCCACAATTGTTATTTTCTCCATGGGGATATTAGAATACGACATACAAAGATAAAATACCTTGACATAGAACGATTATCGTCAAGTGAACAAGTCCAGTCTGCATCTATAAAAACGTTATTCTAAAATACCCATTATAGCGCAACATACCTGCTACACCCATGATATATTGCAAGATCATCGAGAGCACTCAAAGCAACACCGCCAGTTATACTAATCAACGCAATCGACACTACTTTTCGACCCACACTCTTGCTCTTTCCTTTCTCCACGGAATTTGAAAAACTGCAAGAAGTGATTATTACAGTTGAAAATCAGTGAGTTCTTCTCTGATCAACTAAGCAAAATGGGTATTAAACATTGTTAGTTACTAAATCCGTTTCTCTTCTTTTTCCTATTAGCAGAATAGGAGTTCAATTATTTTCTCTTTTACAGGACAAAGTTTAAGCTATCTCATATAAAAACACCAATGGAGATTATTCTGGTCAAAAACTAAAAAAATTCACTTCCCTCGTCAACTAAACATATTGGCGCTTTCGGCAACACCAATTAATTGACTTTTGTTCTTTATTCTTCATTACTAAACCTCTTGAGGAAGAAAATCTCGCCTTCAGCAGCCACACAAAAACCAGAATAAATCCCAACAGATATTGTCTATGTGAACATTTCAAAGTTCCCGAAACTGAAATGTTAGCCAGGTTTCGATCGATTTCTTACCTCGAATATTGGGCTGTTGGAGAAGATTTCATAAGCGCAGAAATTAACCTTCTCCTCAACATTTTCCCTCTCTCTCTCTCCCCTGAGTTTCTGAATTCTGACTGACTTGGAAAATTGGCATAAAAGAATCGGAAAATAAACAACTTTTTTCCGTAGTGTTAAATGTTAATGCTAAGGAAACGCATAATTAGTGCGCGTTAACTCGAACCATACATGTTGACGGTTTATCTGGAATATCACGTGGGTATAACTATATTCCAAATCAACTGTGTGAGTGTGAGATGCGTGGGCGAAGAACAACTACCTCATGACCCGAACCGTAGTCCAGACGGCGAGGGTTATTGCAGTTTTTGGAATACGGTTCGGATCGGATGATGTCCAACTCCAATGCATCTCCTTCGATTGGCCATGAACATGATTTGAGTTTTCAGGGTCACTGTTACACACTAACATTTCAAAGAATTGGATTATTTTATTCCTATGTTTTAAACTTTTAATACTTGCCAAGTAAAACTAGGGGTGTCAAGAGTATTTGAAAATTCAATTTTAAATTTGATATTCCACATAATCAAATCAAATTTTGATAATTCAAATATCTAATTAYTCTATTTTGGATATCTTATTTATAYTAAATAGTTAATCGGATTCGAATTCGGATATGACCTAATTCAATTTAATAAATATCCGAATTCGACCAATTATTTATTCTTATATATAATATATAAAATATTTTATATAATTTATATATAGTAATTAAGTTATATAAATAATTTATATGTTTATATACTTTATATCAATAAAATATTTATTTTATATATTTATTAATCATCGAAAATAATTAATTAATCGAATTTGAATCGAATCAAATCAAATCAAATATTCAAATATTTAATCGGATATCGGATTTTCTAATCATATTCAAATTCAGATATTGTCTGCTCCAATTCAAATTCGATCCGTTTACACCCCTAGCTAAAACGTCATCTATCAACCTTGCGCCAGGGCAACCTCTCTTTCGCCTCCTACTTCATCAAACTGAAAGGATTATGGGATGATTTGGCCATTCTTGCCCTCTTTCAGATTGTAGTGTAGTGTTGCAAAAGGAATAGCCGCAAAATGTGAGAGGGACAAATTTAACCAATTCTTTACGAGACTGAATGAGATGTTCAGCAATATTTGTTCCAACATCTTAGCTATTGAATCACTCCCGACTATCAATCGAGTATTTGAATTTATGCTCTAGCAGTCCAAGAAGAATGATATCAGTCTATATCCTAGAGGTTGTTGCTTTCTCTATTTCACAAATTGGTGATCGATTTACTCGTCCCTGTCCAAAGTGCAAGCACAGGCCATATCGAAGAACATTGTTATGAGTTACATGGCTATATCGAAGGATGAGAGAAAAAGAGGCTAGGACATGGTCCAAAACATAGCTCCTCAACGACTGTCTGTACCACAATGACTAGGTCTTCATTAGAAAATGGATCTTGATCTATTCCTATGACTTTCTTGACTCTTGAACATTACAATAATCTCATGAGATTATTGAATGTTGATACTTCAACTATTTTTGCCTCTAATACAATTGGTAAGACTTCATCCCCCTCTAATAACAACATCTCATCTTCTACTTCAAATCATTGAATACTTGATAATGGGGCATCTGACCACATTGCCTTTACTTTGTCTTTATTCCTACATATTTTCCCCATTATTTTCTACCAGTATAGTTCGTTTGTCAAATGGTTCTACCTTCCCAGCCACTCATAAAGATTCCATCATACTGGATTCAAATCACATTGTACATGGCATACTATACGTCCCTAAATTTAAATTTAACCTCTTGTCCATCAATGAATTCACGCTCCAATTACAATGCACTATATTTTCTTTTGCTTCATGTACACTTTAGGACCTAGCTTCGATGAATCTGATTGGCATAGGAGTGCTGCATAATGGTATCTACTGCCTTCCAGCCATCAAACCTTCAATTGCTCTATCTCTCTGTACTATCGAAGGTTACTCTACTTGGCACAATAGACTAGGGCACGCTTCGTCTCTCCAATTGCCAATCCTTTCTAATGGTAGGTTAGCTTCACCAATATATGTGAAAAGGCCAAACACACATGAATTCCATTTCCTTTGAGCTCCTCTCGAGCTTCAACTCCATTTGACATTTGGGGTGCCTATCATACACCTACACACTTAGGTGCTAGTTTTTTTTTACCATAATTGATGACTACAGTCGTTGTACATGGGTGTTCCTTATGAAAAATAAATTTGATACATACAATTTCCTGATTTTCCTTTTGTAACATGGTGAAAATGCAATTTCACACTGTTATTATAGTTGTGCGTTCTAATAATGGTAATGAACTTCTCTCAAGCCCAATGCAATAATACTTCATGAACAATGGCATTTTCCATCAAACATCATGTATAGACTCCCCTTAGAAAAATGGTGTTGTTGGAAGAAAACACTGCCACTTACTAGAAGTTGCATGTGCCTTGCATTTTCAGGCTCCATCCCTTTTAATATTTTGGGGTGAATGTGTTTCACTACAACCTACATTATCAATTACTTGCCTACAATACCATTACAAGGCAAATCCTCTTATGAGCTGTTATTTGATAAAACCCCATCTTACACCCATTTACGGATCTTTGGATGTTTGTGTTATGCTTAAAAGCGTCCTCTTTCAAAGGACAACACCGAATGTTTACTTCTCCAGATGTTTCCTTTTATGAAACAACATTCCCATTTTCTAACACCATATAACAGTCTTCACTCGTCCCATCTCACAAAATTATGGTCATCCCTTTACCCTAATTTGAGGACCCATTTGTTGAAATTTCACCCTCTACAGTGTCCATTGACATAAACACTACAAGATTCATGGACACCGAAATCCAACCCATTGTTAACAGTCTTCACGATAATCAACCCGCTATTAGTGATGCACCAATAGTGCGTGATTTTGATTTGGGCAGTTCACTCACTGTCCCAATGCAACATCCTCAATGTACTAGACATATTCCATCACACCTTCGTGATCACCATTACACCTTATCCATCTCCCTCTCTAACAACATTGCTACAACCCCCTTACCACTTGAACCCACCAATAACTCCCAAGTTGCACATGACCCCAATTGGTGTAAGGCTAGAGTTGTAAAACGGGTCATGCTGGGTTGGCTAAGCATGGCCCGCTTGTGGCCAGTGTAAAGTGTGAGCCGTTCCATGCCGCTTGCGGGTCGTGCCTCCCTCCCCTAGGATATTTTGGGGGGTCAACGCCACGGCCCGTGGCATAGCACAGGTCGGGCTAGCCCATGGGTCGAGCCTTGGGCCAAGGCAGGACGTGGATTAGGAAAGGTTTATTTAAAAAAATTTAAGAAAAAAGCTTAAAATTCTTATTTTTTATGAATTTTGATATATACAATTGTTTATATATACAATAATTAAATAAAATTGAAAACTATTGTATATTTTATTAATATATTATAATTATATATTATTATATATAATATATAATATGTTATTTATATAAATATATATGGATCGTACCAGGACGCAGAAGCTACCAATAGATTGGTTTCTATAACACAAGATTTGAAATTACCTTTCTTGGATTCCAGGTAGGTAGGACAGTTCCTTTTCCAGTGGCTGGTGTTTTTGCAGAAGTGACAGGCATCCGATGCCTTGTCCTTCCTCTGCTTCTTGGGTTTGGCAGTGAGTGTTTACCCATCATATTCGTGAATGCCAAGGTACTGTGAGAAAGTTCACATTTTCTGGTGAAGCCTCTCCCACATCGATCTATGACGCCCCTATCATCTTATGAAACACTCAGACAAACCCAACAGCAAATGGATACCCCATTTTCTGGTGTGTTTCCTCATTACTGAATGACCCATCCTCATGCTAATGATGGAAGGCCTTTAGAGAGTTCATCATATGAATCTACCTATCACATTCACTCATTTTAGCTGGAGGGAACAGTCAATTACACCCTATCAAAGTGGCTCCCACTGACTTTCATAAAGCCAGATTTCGGTGGGCCTAAATCGGCTAGGGTTCCGCACATAACCTCTCCATGAGGTGTGAGGCCCACCACTGAGGGAGGTCATCCAATGACCAAAAGGGACACCTTGGCAACGATGTTTATTCAGCCATAGTGAGCGCAAGAGCCACTGTCGATTGAGCATGGGCCAAACACTTATGGCCCATGTACGTAGCACATCACATATCCATACATCACATGCAAGGATAAATTGATCCAATCAATTAATTATCTATAAAGCCCATTTAAAGCCCATTTTGAATCCATAATATTAACCAATAATATTATCTAGGTATATAGGTTGAATTAGGGTTGATGGGTTCGGCCCATATAGCTTTATGTGTTAAGTGGGCTTTTAGCAGTGTAAAAGCCCAATTTTAAATAGCTTTATGTGTTAAGTGGGCTTTTAGCAGTTTTAACTATTTAAAATTGGGCTTTTACAAGTTGGGCCGAATTAACTATTTAATTAATTATCAATCCTCAGGCCCATTAGTGGAAAAATTAGGGCTGACTTTCAGCCTTGATTGAACCCTAGATTCGGTCCAAAYARTTTGAACCAATCTTGGTTCGAATGGGTCTAGGGTTTGATCTTTAATTAAATCTTTAATTCAAGAAAATAATCTGAAATTAAATACTGATAAAAGAAAAGCAATAATCAGTCTCATAGGGCTGTTCACACACTCCATCCTGCAAAACAGAGGTTAGATCATAGGTTGCAGTTTCATAAACTGCAAATCACAAATTGCAATTCTCTCATCTGCGAAATCTTCTTTTCTGCGAAATCTCCTTCTTTGCGCCGCCATCTTCGATCCAAAAAAAAATAGAAATCCTAATTTCTATTAATAATTACATCAGATCGAATACCTATACATTCAGTCTAAAAATTAAAAAAAATATATTTTACAGACCAAATGTAATAAAATAATCCATGAACTGCAAAATCGCAGGTTCCCTGCRCAAATCAAGAATTAGAACTCCTCTTGTACGAACAACCCATAAATCAAGAAAATCATAAAGAACAATTCTRAAYAATAATYAGATTTATATAAAATTTAA